GGGGGGGGGTGGTGTTAGACAATGAATCAGTGGGAGGGGACGAGGACAGAAGCCAGGCCAATGAGTATTAGATGGCCACCACTTACTGGGTGCTTAGTTTGTGCCAGTACATCACGTATGCTGTTTAGTTTAGTCCTCACATCTACCCTGTAAAGCAGGTGTCTTAATTATCCTCATTTTAGAAAAGACAAGACCAAGCATAGCAGGGTGAAATTGTTTGCTCAAGGTAACAAATGCCGTAAGTCAGAGAGCTCAGATTCAATCCCGAGACTATCTGTCCCCAGAACCAGGGTTCTTATACATGAAAATGTACTGCCCAGATCACACAATAGGTTCCGTGAAGGATTGGAATGGCAACATAAAAAGTAAAGGCATGAGCAAAAAACAGTTATAAATATTGCAGAAAATCTATTACAAAGCAGGCACATTCAAACACACACCACACCTGTTCTGCCTTTGTGCAAAGACTACAAGTTGTGCAATAAGGCACTCTAACTCTGAGGAGTTCACCATTGCTCCCGGTGAGTATGTTCCTTAACAAAAAAGTAGGTAATCAGAAATGTGTAGGGTATGGATTCTGAGAAAAATAAGCCCAAACTCTGACCAGTAAGTGTACCAGGCAGCAAAACTGAATGAAGCCTATGTGCAATAAGCCAGAAAAACTACTGTGATAACTTAGATCAAATTAGATCTCAAGAAGGCTATGCTTACTAGCTTAGCTTAAAACGAAGTTTATGACCAGGAACAGAAAATCCTAGAAGCATACTGGAATACAGTGTGTTAATTCACAGTGCTCTGTAGACTGCAAATCCTATGTGGATTTAAAGTATTTAAAAAAGGAGTCACAAGATTTGACAGTTGGAAAATAAGACTTATGAGAAAAAGCTGGTTATATTTACAGGGAAGGGGGATGTATGACATTTCTTCTGAGACATAAACACTCAGCCAAACCCAGTGACAAAGTGTAGTGTGTATAAACTTGGAAAATAACACGCTGAGACTTCTCTGCTTTAAGAGGAAAAGGGTTCTCAGAGTGCACTGCCCACTGGCAGGAAGACTTGAGGACAATTACAACCAATCCTAGGAGTCTGTGAATATTTTAAGAACACAAGAAAACACAAACCCCAGGACACCAAAAACTGTCAAGATAAATCTTTAAGCTATAAGACTAATCTACTCAAGTAGATGTGAGACTTTCCTCTACAGACTTGGAATCAATCATTAACCTCTTTTATCCTAATTGTATTCTTGAGAGTTTACTTGTTTATTGTTTGTCTACAGGGTTCATGACAGAGGGACGATATCCCTTTTATCATGACTACAGTCTAAGAGCCTAGCACAGCTCCTGGAACACAATTATCTGCTCAATAAATTTTTCTCAATGAATTTGAATAAAGAGTCTATATCTAATTTTATTCTTGCCTGGATCACATGAATTGGCATGGTATGTCATTGAATTTAAAAATAAAGATACCCAAAATATAAAGGCAAAGCTTTCTCCTATCAGATGAACTAGCGTCCCCTGTTTTCATAATGTTCTCCTAAATACTTTCTAGTGCAAATCATAAATGATACATGCAAATACCACCTATCACTCTCATATGTATTTTCTGGCACTGAGTTACTGTTAATAATGGTTAATGGCCTTCATTGTACTCTGGGGAAACTAGGGATCCTAGTTTTAAAAGTGTTTGAAATAAACACACACACACTGAGGCAAGGCCAAACACCTTCCAGAGAATTACAAGTCTTTGCAAATGGACATACGGTCTGAAGAAGAGTGATTATACACAAGTCTGCTGCTTAGGAAATTAAGCACATGTTACATATTAAAAGCCATATATATAGAGAGAGACACACACTTCGAGCGTCAAACAATGGCATTTTCAGGCATAGTCCGTCAAGTCTTCATCTAGCTGCTAATACTGTGACTCCCCCACACCTACTTGTGTCATACCCATACCATGGCTGGGGACACAAGTTAAAATGTGAAGCAGATTTTGATAGGCAGCTGAAACAGTTCATGCCCGTGGCCTAGCACGGTTAGTCATGGTGACTATGTCAGTTTTGAGTAGGAACCTGACATTCCATCATGGCTGCAAGCACAACAGATTGCTCTGTGGCAGCTGGACACGCTTCCGCAGAAACGTTTGAACCTTTACCAGACATAAACAACACGCAGTGCATTCTCAAGAGGCAAAGTTTACTTAAGAAATGATTTCTACTTTTCTATTCGATCACCTGACAAGGCCTGTATTTCCTGAAAATATGTGTTAGGATTGGCTTTTGTGAAAAATCACGAAACAAAATTCTATTAAATGACAGCTTAATTTTCAAACACAGAGTTTTTCATAGGGAATTTTAGTTTTAAGCATCTTTTCTGAAATATTGACTACTTAACCCACCAAATTACTGAACTGTAGTCTAAGCACTGAAAATCTGCTATGATAATTTATACCCAACTGAAACTGAAAACATATCTGACAGAAGTAGACATTTTCCTACATTTTAACTAGACAAAATGCCTATTGTCCTAAGACCCAAGCTTAAAGTTCATGTTCCTTAACAAACACTCATGAAACCAGTAGTGAGTTTCTTTGCACACAATCTGTGTTTAAATAAGTGTTATGAATCTTTAACTATTTCTACTTGTTTCCTTTACTGTAAGATATTCTAACACAAGCATTAAAGCTCTATGACCGTCACACTTACCTGTATGGCTTGTCAGAGTTATGGATTCGCCGGTGGTTTCTGACACCAACGTAGGTTGTACTTGTATAATCGCACACGTCACATCTATACTGTTTCTGTACTGAAGACTTACTCCCTAGACAAGGGATTGGAGAGCTTTAGTGACATACTTAGATAGAAATGACAGCATCTCCACTGTAAATGAATATTTACAGTGCATTGTACCAACATTTCCAACAAGGCTTTCTCTTTTAATAAAGTTAAGTTTGAACATGGTTTTCCAGTTTCTCCTGCAACTGGACTATCAGCAGATACAAAGTGAACATCATCTCACCTGCAAATATAGATACATTGACTTGGTTTCTGCATGACCTTGTACAAAATGCTACAATAAAATAAGCTGATGCCAGATGCCCTGTTGACTGTGCAGCAGCTGAATTAATTCTGAATTAAACAGAATTAACTGTTAACTTGAAAAGTGTTAGTCTAATTGATATTGGATAAACTGTCTTAAGGAAACACTGATTTGCCAACAAGCTGTGATCTAACACTATAAGACAATATTACACAGTACGGCTACATAGCATATATAACAAACTCAACATAAAAAGCCTAAAGCTTGGGGCACCTGGGTAGCTCAATTGGTTAAGCCACCGACTCTTGATTTCGGCTCAGGTCATGATCTCATGGTTTGTGGGATCGAGACTGGTGTTGGGCTCAGCATGGAGTTTGGAGCCTGCTTGGGATTCTCCCTCTCTCTCTCTGCCCCTGCCCCGCTTACACTCTCTCTCTCAAAATAAATAAATAAAAAAGCCCAAAGCTTTTCCACCCTATGGGTTTCCTTTGTTTATAAAAATGCCAGGTACCAGTGCAACAATGGGAGGAAAAACAACCGCAAATTATTAAGTGCTATATAATGTAGCATATGCCTGGCAAACTGACACATTACAAGGACAAATGTTATCATTAACATGAATCTGCAGCCCTCTGAAATTCAGAATATATGGATCCGATTGGAAATAGGCCATGTCACCACACTTACTCTGCACCAACAAGGCTGGGTAATTTAAATCAGGGTAAGCCTGAGACAACACAAGCTGAATGATTTGATCATGTAAAACTGTTCCTGAAGATATTCAACACCTTCTTTACTCTTCTGTAAGCACAAAGTCTGTGGGCCATTCACAGGCCGATGGCTTTACATTCAGAAACAAAGCAAGCATGGAAACCTGAAGAATAAGGCAGAGCCGCAAGGAAGCTTAGGTAGAATATTAGCGCACAGTGCATAAACGTAAAATTGGTGGCAGAAGAGAATCCCACGCTGAAATTTTAACAAAGAAAATTCTTAAGTGAAATTTAAGCTTTCTAAAATTGAAATTCTCTTTCGCCTGTAACTACTTTTGTCAGGCAGAACAAAATGTCCTAATTTCCTGGTATACGTCTACAACATTAATATACACTCTAATCATAATTATAATGTAAGTATCGCTCTTAATTGCTAGGTTAAAAACTTGGACTTGATTATAAGTGGCATTGTTCCAAATACAGTTTTTTTTAAAACCCTGAAAAAAATGAGGTGTGAAATATTGGATAATGGTTTTGTGTGAGAAATATTACAGATCAATGACAACTAATAAAAATGACAGATGGAAAAACTTAATATAGCACAGAATGAGAGCCTGTGCTACTTCAAGCAACTGTTTCCAATGGAAAGAATACACGATTTAAAGTTCAACGATTTGGGCTTCGTCCTTGCTCTTCTACCTAGTACCAGGATGACTGTGGGCAAAGCATTTCACCTCCTGAAGACTCGGTTTTCTCAGCTACAGGATGGAAATTCTAGAATCTCCCAGCATGGTTTATTGAGTAAGCTTTAGGAGAACTCTATTCTTCCTTCGCTGCAGTCTGTACGTCACATGCAGGTCTGTGTCAGGCCTCTGACCTGTCCCTTGCTGTAGACTCCCTGAAGACAGGGATCTGTGCGTTTTGTCTACATTGCATCCCCCGGGGTTCATGAATCGTATGTTTGCAATAACGAATGATTTCATTAATGATGTCTGCGAAGGAACATCATATGAGAATGCTTTGCCCGTGGCTCTAACACAGCACGTGTGCTCTCTGCCGACACAGCCGTCATACGGTTCTGTCTTCCTCCGGGGCTGGGTTTCTTACAGGCAGTGAGGCCTTCACCGTACTCCCTGCACCTAGCTTGGTATCCAGCTCGGAATGGGTGCGCCATGCCTTCTGGCAGAACAATGTCTGAAGTACTGTTACACTGGGTCTCTGAGTCAAAAACCTGTCCCAAGTTATCTGTGCCATCATAATGGGCAGTGGCTGGGGACCACTGAGGCACACTTCCCCCAACTTGTCCAGTAAGTTTACTACAAGGCTAAAAAATCTAGAGTAAAACACGAATTATTCTGACCTTCTTTGTGAGCTAAACACTTGTTTTTTGGCTCAACAACCAGATTTCAAAAGTGCTAATACTGAATTCATCAAGTATCGGTGTAAGTGTGCAGGCGGTAATCAGTCACCTGAATTGTTGGACCACTATGACAGAGAAAAGCAAATGCAGTGAAGTGAGAGAAAAACGGACATGGCAGCAATTTAAAACCCATACATTCAACCACAAGAAACAGCAGGACGCACAAAGAAAAGATGCCGTAAAATGGAATATGGTGGACAGATGCCGTCGCGGTAAAGCTCAAACTGGTTACTTTAATTTTGAGCTGACATTTTAATCTTTTTTATTAAAATTGTGGTTCTGATTTGTTAACCCATTTGGACAGTTTTATAAATTACCGCTTTTGAAGACGGTGCTAGAAAAGACACATTCCGCCGCTAGTGTTAACCGCACGCAGGTGGTGCCGCTGAGTAGTATTTACTTTATTCCTTCATTAGGGATTTATGGTCCAATGACATCAAATGTTTTAATGTCTCCTTTAAGGGGATATGGAAACATAATGAATTAAAATAAAAGGAGGCATTTAGGGCTATTTTGTAAAAAGGAAACAAAACGGTTTTAGCTCAGCCATCTCTTCCAGAAACAGATGCTATGTCATAAACTCCTTTTGTTTTGGATAGTTTTACAGGGATGACATCTGTCTGACAAGGGAATTTTGGTGCTACAGTGGTGTCAAAATCAGTTCTTTCAGAAACATTCTTGAATCAGTTATGCTTTCTGGGGTATAATTTAATGAACCATTATGGTAAAACATTTTACTCTGCAGTTGTTTCTAACTTTAATTCTTAGGAAATCTAAAAAGGAAAGTCACCCCAATATGTTTTATTTCCCATAAACACTATGTACCGCACTTGAGACATTTAGAGTATATCAATTTAAGAGAGCTGATGCAAGGAAGCACAGCTTATTACACTTTATCCCTCATTCTCCGGATGTGGCATCCGCTTTTTCATGGAACTCTAATTAAATCTTTTGATTCTAATATTCCTATTAGCAGAAACTCAGCCGACTGGTACCTAACTAGTACACAAAAAGATCTTCTGTTTTTTTGGCTTTTTTTTTTTTTTTTCTTAAATAATGCAGATGAAATCTGGCAGTCATACTTGGATAAGAATAAGATCACAGCAGGAAGCCTCACTTACAGTTTGAGGTGGGGGCCCTGCCATCTGCAAAAGCTGCTATATTCTCAGTGGGTCAACTGGTACTGAGACAGGGGAGGGCTTGCTTTCCACACTGCAGCTTCCCTGGCTTGCTGGGGTGTCACCCAAGGGTTCGTGATGTACTCGGCTCTTATAGGGCAGCATAAATTTCAACGTGTTATCTACCTACACAGTTGACTACTTACTAATATAGCATTTCATTTAGTGCTCAGAATCACCTCAGGAACACAGGTAAGATTCATTCACATCCACAGTATGAAAATAGAGAACATATGCGGCTTTAGTCCTGAAAATAACCCACATGACAACTAAGGGCTTTTTAAAAAACCTAATACGCTAGTCAAAAAAATGCAGATACCTTCTTGAACACCTTTTCCATCAGCTGTATCACTGGAAATTCTTGACTCATTAGAAGCTGCTACTGACAAGGTATCTGGAAGGCTGTGTTGCTCTCTCTCATGGTTCCTCAGTTGACTCTAAAAAATTGAGAAACAGTCCCACGTAACTTTCAATAAATATACTTGCACTGTTACTAAGAGACTGCTGAAGCAGTTAATTGCTTTCATGGCGTGGTACCTAGAACACATTACCAATATTTTAAAACCAAATGTGCTAAAAGATTATCTGATTTATTTGACAGTTTACGGAAAGAAATACACTGGAGAAATCACAATCTCATCAAAAAGGCAGTTCTTTTTGCATTCTCCAAAAGCAAGCCCCCGCTATCTTCAGAGGGGTTTCTGCACGGCACGTGCGTGCTTACTGAACCACTGGCAGGCCCAGAGGAGGGAAGAGCAGAGCGTTTGGAATAACCCAATGCTTTCACAAAAATAAATCCAACCAGTAACTGCTGGACTCCTGCTAATTCTTGCCTTTCAACACCAGCTAACGTGTTGATGGATATCTTCTTCCTTCACCACTACCCCCACAAATCAAGAGTGCAGGAACAAAAGAAACTTCTGGAACTTGCTTTTACAGCCCATTTGGATGTGCTGGTTGTCTAGCAGCCTGAGGCCACTTCAGAACACCATGAGGGCAATCCAAGGAGGCAGTGAATCTCAGACTCAAAGGCTGAGAGAAGTCTACATCCCAGTTAGCCTTTTAGGACACTTTTTTCTTTTTTTTTTTTTTTTGCCCTCCAGACAGTCAACTGGCAACACTGGAGAAGAAAAGTTCTAAACTAATGATTCAATGAATCCTGTTTCCTTTAGGAAAACAGCATCTCATGCTGGTTGTTGGTTTTAAGGTAGTACATAGGATGAAAATCACGGTCAAAATCCTTACAGTCCCTTAAACTGCCCATTAAACACATGTGGCTCTATTTCCACTTTACTGTCTGTCATGAAGTCCAACATAGCACACTTTCCCTCTCGCAAGGACACAGATTACTGTTGGCTGGTTGTGTGGCTGAAGCGAGCAACCTGCATTTTGGGGAAATGGAAGATGGGAGTTTGTTTGCATCGATGTAGGATTACATCTGGATAAATCAACTGTTAAGTCCTTCCCCTGTACATTCTCTTGAAATTACCTTGCAATTTAAAATCAACACGTTTAAAAAAAGATATACACGCTAAAACACTAAAAGTGATAAACACAGACACTGTTAAGGAGGAAGCAGACGGGAAAACAATCCTACACCAATCCTGATGACCTAGATTTCAGTCCCAATTTTAATACTAATTAGTTGGGATCCCCTGGGCAAATTGCCAAACTTTCCTAGGCCTCACCTCAGTTTCCTTATCTATAAAATGAGATGGCTGGACTCTCTGCCAAGTTCCCTCTTTGCTCTAAAAAGCCTAAGGTTCTCCGAATGATTTCACGAACCAATGCTTACCTTATAATGAAACGACTCTTCACACTGCTTGCACTGGTATATTCTTGTTTTGCAGTGGTTGATCATGTGGTTCTCCAAATCTTTGCTGTCGTCAGCTATGTGCTCACAGATAGGACACTGATAGGGCTGTCTCTGTCGATGGACCCGCAAGTGCTGCTTGATGTAGCCCTTGTTACCACTTGCGTAGTGACACAGGCGGCAGCGGTAGGGTCGATCAGCATTAGGGATGTATTCCACCACATTGCTTCCCGATAAACCTGCGTCACTGTTGGGTTGGCACTGGGCGTTGTCCTGCAGCTCTTTCAAAATGTCATCGTCGGAAGCATTTTGGTCTGTCCTTTCCCTCAACTTTTCGATCACAGTCAGTAAGGACATGCTGATACCCGTCTTCACTTGCCCATCTGACAACTCCTGCCTACCCTCTGGGAGTGCTACCAACGTAGAGTTGCTTTGGTCAAAACCAGTTAATCCATCTGAAGAGTTTTTAAGTGGCGACATCATTTTAGAATAAGCCGCCAACGTACTGTCCACTTGCCTTTGTCCGGTATCTGGATCTAAAAGGTTTATATTCCCATAGTGCCCAAGGTTGGCCCTTGTCAGTTCTGCGGCTCTTATGGGCATTGTGACGAGGGCTTCTGCAGCTAACGAGTGTAGTCGGAGAGACTCAGAATTTGTCCTTCTTCGGCCTGGTGGGGCATTCTCATCAGTAGCCAGTCCTTTGGTTATTAACTCACTGTCTTTCTTCTCTGGATTGCTCCAGCCTATGATCAGCCCCCCAATATCAACAGTACATTTATCAGCATGATAAACTTCATCTCTTCCTTCACCCCCAATCTGGGATTCTGTCGGGCTCAGGTTTTTTCCCTCTTCGATTTCAGCATTCATGAGGAAATGTTTCTGTGAAAGAGTTTCTTCAGCACTTGGCAAACGTTCTACTATCACGTTAACATGACCTTTTTTATTTGGACTACTACTAATGATTTTCTGTGCGGATGAAAGCAGACTATCAGCGATCAGGTTCTCCTCCACATCAGATATCACCTCTAGCATCTCTTCCTCACTGGGGTCAAGGGTAACTGACTGAGTCAGATGAACTCCACCTTCTGCACTCTGTCCTAAAGGAGACGAAGAGGATAACGGTTCTGAGCTGCAAATCTGTACTTGTACTGAAGGCCCATTGTGGATACTCAGTTCGTTGTCTCCAATAGCAATGACGACTGCATCCACCCCACCAGGTTCAGCAGCCACTGAAGAATCCAGCAGGCCTAGGGGCTCATTTTCATTTTCAAAGATCGGATAGGAGCAGTCAACCTCCCCAGCATGTTTCCAAGCATGTGTTTTCAACATTCTCTGCTGGCCACAGGTGTAACTACAAAACAAGCATCGGTACATGCCATACTGTTCATACGCATACCATTTCCTCTTACCCATTTCTGCCATGGGTGCGTTTTGGGCAGCGTGCGTTTGCGCACTGTCCACACTCACTTGGACATCAGAAATGGTTTCATGGTTTCTTTCTGTGGGCCTCTGACACAAAGAGTTGGAAGGGCTTACACACTGCTGGGCTTTGGATTGAGTGTGACTGTTGGCATCGTTTTCGTGGTCGTTTACCACGTGAGCTTCAAGTTCCTCTTGGCTTTTAGATGTAATGTGGCACTCTGAGCACATTAATATCACTTCATTTTGCTGACCATGCTGCTTGATATGATCTTTTAACACAGAAAACGATGATGACAGAAACTTGCAAAGGCTACACTGGTAAGACATAGTCTTCCCATCGTTCTGGGCAAGAGAGCCAGGGGTAAAATGTATCTGAGACATCTCAGCCCTTCTGATCCCAGCAGGGGACTGGGTTACTTTAGCTGGAATCTCACAAAGTTCTTGGGTTTCAAGAGAGTGTGTTGCAGCACTTGAACGTGAGCGTTTTTTCCCGATCAAAAGACATTTTTGTGACTTTTCATGTTCTACTATCTTGCTTAACTTCTGGATAACATGGATCAATGGATCTGTTTTAACTTTTCTTTGTTCATCAATTTCCAGTGATGAACTGATGACAGTTTCAGCAGTCAATATAGCTTCCTGTTCCCCAATATCTGGCACCAACATGGCAACACTGCTGCTTTCTTCCATATCTAGAAAGGATAATATACAACAGGAAGAAATATCGGGTTAGAGGTATTATAAGAATGCAATTATAGGAAACCTGAGCTACTCCTAGAGTTTAAGCTAATCTCAGTTATTTTCTAACCTGGGAGCTCCATTATCAGCATACCTGTATCCCCAGCAGAGACTTAAACTGCTTGGAACTTCTCTAGAGAATGTCATCCCCTATCAAGACTGAGGATGATCTTTCCATCTATTTCTTTCTTTGGAAATGACTTTAACAATATGCATATCCTTTTTTCTTCACTTTCTTTCCCCCAGACATCTAGCTGGACCCAATTAGTATGCCCTCTCTTTTGTGCAATGCCAAAAAAACACAAAAAACAAAAAAACAGGACTGCTATTCCTTGACTGAAGGGACACAAGCATTCCCAGGGTATGTGGAACCACCTCAAGTTACCACAAAACCAACAAACAAAACTAACACATGACTGACACAATTCTTGGGAGACAACTACTTATATCAAAAATAATTATAGTCTTATTATTAAAATCATAAATTTGTTTTTTTCACTCCAAATCTTTGGAGTTATGAAAAGATAGTCTGGTAACCTCTTGTAAATGGCAGAGTGAATTTTGAGAAGTATGATGCAAACGAAACTACATAAAAGCAATGATCCAGTTCCTTCTTTTACTTCCTTCGATTGATTTCCCTGAAGATAAACCACAAACAATGCTGTGGTTTTTTCCTAGAGGCCATATTAGTGGTCAACTGTTACTCATGCACGAATATATGTAATTTCATTTTCCTGAAAGGGAAAGGGGCATCAGAGAAGGAAAAAGACCTGACATTCTAGTTGTGTTTCAGGTCTAAATATTCAGAGTCCTTAAAAGGGGTTCTCTGTAAGTTCCAGCAATGCATTACAGCCAAGGAAGTCACAAAACAAAAAATACTCACAATATCTTTCTCCCTAAATCTTGAATCCTCTATTTCCTGGCAGTACTTTCATTTCAAACATTTCCTTTGGCTCAAAGTGAGATTAATTTGTTGACTTGGATCACATTTTTCAGTTTAGGCTTTTTTCCAGCAACAAGTTTTGTTTTTCCACATTTTAGGTGCATTCTGGAGTCTTACTCACAACATTCAATAAATGCCAGCAAAATTTTTAGTGGCACCAGCTATAGACCAAAGACCATACTATTCTTAAACCTCAATCACAGGCTCTGAATTCTTATTTTAGGAGGTGAATCATGGCTTCCCTCCCCCCAGGTGGCCGAATCAACACGGAAGGGCCCTTGAGCCCCTGCCAAATCACACCGAACTCCTGCTGGACCTACCAGCACTCTGACCAGCTGCAGTGCCAGCCCTCCCGTATCTACTCTTGGCAGCAGTTAGAGCTTTTCCTCTTATTTTCTGCTCTTTCTGGCACACAAACTTTCTATATCTAGGGCCACATCAGGCAAAAATGCAAACATTTTACTCTCGGCTTTAGTACTGCTTCTTCCCTCCTTCTTGATACTCTGTCCAATGGGATCAGCTTTCGTTTCTTTTCCATGTCCAACTGCGCTCGTGGCAGGGAATGCACCCAACAGCCATTACAACGATGGCCACTACCCCAGCTCCCACAGACCTAGAAGTCTGGGTGACTGCGGCCCTTTAGCCGCTCTCTTCTCTAAACAACCTGAGGTCATTACCTCTCAAAAGATTATGTAGTTCCTCTCCATCTTTCTCAAGCAGAAAAAACAGTGTTTTTAAATTTCTACACTCAATCTTAAATCACTAAAGAGGGACCAGTGTGGGAACAACTTGTTTCTTTAGGAAAATCCTTTGTGACGTCTTAAGTCACCTTATTGCCTGAGAATTCCACAATTTTTCGGCCAAGGGGAGCTGTAGCTGTTTCTGTGACTAATGATTTCACTTTAGGACCATTCACTTAAGGCTTTATTTCTTTCAGTTCAATTGTTAAATGGGAATTAGTTAAATCATTGTTAATAACAGAAATCCTTGACATTCAATTTCTTGCCCAAGATTTGGTGGTCTACTGTAGATCTAAGGTCTCCTCTTCCATGAAATATGACATCCATATAGGCTGATTGATAGTCCGCAGGTTAACGAGTGAAGATTTGCTCAACAGACTTTGCGTACCCACAGGGTTACAAAGGTGACTCATGTGGTCCCTCTTTTACCTAATGACAGAATAGGAAAGAGAGCAGTGCAACTGCTCCCTGTGGATATTCCAGTGCGCACCTTAAACAGAGTGTGGAATGAAGAGGAGGAGGAGTTCAAGTCATCTCAAGAAAAAAACTAATACAAAAGAAACTGACAAAACATTCAGATTTGAAAAGCTGTGTCTGCTCAGGCATTAAGAGCTAATGGAAATTTGCAGCAGATGCTCCAATTTTCCCTGAACATTTATGTAAGTATCTCATTTTAGAGGCTGCATACATTTGGGGATAAGTACAGAAATGGCAGCTATAAAACAGATATGACAACATAAAATACATCAAGAAACACCTGAAAAACCAGTTTGGGTCCACATGGCAGAATCGATATATGAGTTAAATCTCATTAAAACAAAAGTCTCTCTTAGAAAAGGTTAGATGAACAGTTCATAATAAAGTATACACAGGGAGGAAGGCCTGTGACCTTAAGGCCAACTCTTTAAATTTTCACAAAAATTTCTCTTAGGCCACCAATGTGCATATATATGGGATCCTATGTCAAGTGAAGTAAAATTTATTTGGAAAAAAAAAAGACAGAGAGATGAAAATAAGGGTACAAACACAATCCCAGTGGCTCAATAATGACGACAACACAGATTATGATCATCGGCATACTATCGATGGCCTTCACATGATCAATACAAGTACACGGTCAGGGTGGGTAGAGAGGGTAGGAATAAAGCAAGAATAGCAAATTTTGTAATTAAAGTTTAGTAATAAGTATCTAGGAGTTCCTTACACTATTCTTTCTACTTGTGTAAATATTTACAACTTTTCATACTAAAAAGTTACAGAAAAAATGGTTATGTGTCAGGGTGTGTGGGTGGCTCAGCCAGTTAACTGTCTGACTTTGGTTCAGGATGTGATCTCACAGCTCATGAGTTCAAGTCCTGAGTCGGGCTCTGTGCTGACAGCTTAGAGCCTGGAGTCTGCTTCGGATTCTGTGTCTCCCTCTCTCTCTGCCCTTCCCCTGCTTGTGCTTTGTCTCTCTCTCAAAAATAAACATTTTTAAAAAAAACAGTATGGAAAAAAATTTAAAATCACAGTACTAATGGTTTAAAACAGTTGAATGGATAGGACAAACACGTTTAGAAGTTAAAAAGAAGTAACAGCTTTTATATACTGTAACAACAGTACACAAAGTAAAACAGTCAGAAGGCAACAGTCAATGACCAAATCCTAACAAACCGAAAAGCTAGTTTTGGTCTAGGAAAGTAAGCAAAAGGTTTTTGAAGAGGTAAGACGTATACTGTATTCTAAAAGACGGCCGCGCCAGATGTCAACCATTTGTCCCTCTGGGCTCACTGCCTCCTTTCCTCCACTCTGCTCTCTGCCCCAGGAGGTATATTACATCAGTAGGCTCCTATGCCCTCTGGTTTCTGGTTGCGTTATGCCAATGGGGAGCCATGAGAGGAGATCAGAAGGAGGCAGCATAGTGAAATCAGGATATTCATTCCCCTAATTCCCTCCCTCTAGGTCAGCTTGGACTGGCCATGTTTCTCAATGGAAGACCATCCTCTTCAGGCAGGGGGCTCTACAAAACTCTCCTGGTTCTGATACCTCTCTTCCTTCTGATGCTGCTACCTCCAGATAACTGCATTATCCTTGTGGTTTGTCTATACAAGTCCAACGCCTTTATTATGAGTATTTTTGTAAATACATCCTCCTTGAATTATCTTAATTAGAATGCATCGTTTTCTCTTTTGGAATTCTGTCAACACAAGGGTAAGACTGACAAGGAAAAGAGCCACAACATTATCACGTTTCCAAAAGTGAGAATAAACCTTCCATCTAGCAGTTAGTGAAAAGATCAACATGGCTGAACAAAAAGGTTTACAGAAAGAGTAAAGCCTAGAGGCATTACCAAAGTAGGAAGCTTCTTATTTGGAATCTTTAGACATAACCACATTACACAAAATATATCGAACTATTACAAATAAATAAATATAAGTTGTATCCCAAACCAGAAAAGTTCTAGAATCTTTCCCACTGAGTCTTAACTCTTTCCTAGACAACAGGACAGGTTTCTCTGGCCATCTGAAAGTAGAACCTTCCTATGGAATCTTTCAGAAGCTGAAATGATGTAAAGTGAAAAAGGAATTACCATTTATTTATACGGAAAAAAAAAAAAAACCCAAAATAACCTTTCTTAGGCTTTTCTGATATTTTAGAACACATCTTGCTAATAATGAGAGCACACGATAAAATGAGATAAAGCACAGATGCTCACAGACACAGTTCAAAGCTCTGGCGCCTTGGTGCAGAGATTCCGAGTACAGTTCCTGGGCAGGAAAGGAGCTTGGTGGGGCCACGCTTGCTGCTTGGGTTACGTGCTGCCTCTATTAATGGCTCGCTGCAAAACAAACATTGGAAACTATTTTTGCCTTTGGTGTAAGACTGAAATCTTTAGATTTCTTTCAGTTAGAGAAATCAGGTTCTAACGTATGTCTTTCATAAAAGCAAAGTGGCAGGGGCTACCTGGGTGGCTCAGTTGGTTGAGCGTCTGACTCTTGATTTTGGTTCAGGTCATGATCCCAGGGTTGTGAGATTGGGTCCTGTGTCAGGCTCCATGTTCAGCATGGATTCTCTCTCTCTCTTCCCCACTTCCCCTCTCGTGCTCTCTCTCCCCCACCGCCCCCAAAAAGCACAAAGTGGCAGAAGGCAAACTGTAAAAAGTGGGGGAGACCTGTATTCCAAAGGCAAAAGCTTATAATTAATGTCTTTCCCAAGAAAAGAACCAAATTATTTCAGTTGTCTTTATTTCCTGATAATTACTACTAGGTTTCTTTGTATATCTAATTAGT